GCTTCATTCCTTCAAACCTGCATTGGGTTTTAATTGTAGCATGAGGGATCTCCGATCTTTGTTGTGGCATACAGGCTCTTTAGTTGCGGCATGTGAACTCTTATTTACAGCCTGTGGGATCTTAGTTCCCCAACCAGGAATCGAACCCAGGCCTCCTGCATTGGGAGTGCAGAGTCTTAGCCACTGGGCCACCAGGGAAGTTCAGTATAATGATATTTTAATGAAATTTGAAAATGTTATATGTAATGAATGGATCTATGTGTATGGCATGGCAATAATAAACACCAAATTTGTGATGATGATTTTTCCTGGGAAGAAACGGAGGGTAATTGGGTCTGGGAGGTAATACACAGGGCATCTGAACTCTATCTGCAATGTTTTCTTTCTTTCAAGAAAGCTGATAGAGGCAGTTCCCTGGTGGTCCAGTGGTTAGGACTCTGTGCTTTCACTGCCAAGGGCTGGGATTCAGTTCCTGGTCAGGGAACTAAGATCATGCAAGTTACATGGTGTGGCAAAAAAAAAAAAACCCAAAAATCTAACAGAATATGTGGTAAGTGTGTAGGATTTAATAGAGCTTAGCAGGAGATACATAAGTATTCAAAACCTTATTCCCTGCCTATGCTGCTGTGCTCAATCGTGTCTGACTCTTTGCGACCCCATGGACTATAGCCCACCAGGCTCCTCTATCCATGGGATTCTCCAGGCAAGAATACTGGAGTGGGTTGCCACTTTCTTCTCCACTGTATTACTGAAATGTTTCATAATAGCTTTTAAATGCTCCCCCTTCCCCCTATGTTGTGGTTATTATTAATATGTGCCGCCATGAGGAATGCAGAAATCAACTATGGATACTTATGGTTTGGGATAAAAATTCTAGTTAGAACATCATCTCTGCAAAAAATGCTACATTTTCAAAAACAAATATGCAGAGATGTTCTCTGCACACTCATCCCATGACTGTGAGAGGTACTGTAACGTTAGCAGAGCCACGTTGAAGGAGCACATGGAAGGTTCAAAACTACCTCAGGAAAGATAAACTTAGAAGAGGAGTTATTTGTGCCACTTTCTAAGCTATTGTCTCTCCTTCGGACCCATGCTATAAGTTACCTGTTGCTGCTGTAACAAATTACCACATAGTTAGTGACTTAAAACAGACAGTTTATTCTTATCATTGTTCTGGAGGTCAGAAGTCCAAATTCAAAGCGCTGGCAGGGCTGGTCCCTCCGGAGGCTCCAGGGGAGCATTGGCTCCTGCATTTTCCAGCTTCTAGAGGCACCGCATCCCTGGCTCACAGCCGGCCCTTCCCTTCATCCTCACAGCCAGCAGCGCAGCATCTCCTGTCTTTCTCTGCCTCTGACCCTCCCCTTCCCTCTTATAAAGACCCTGTGATGACACTGGTGCCCCCTGGGGAATGCAGGGTCATGCCCGTCTCAGGGGTCTTAACGTAATCTTACCTGCAAATTTACAACCTAAGGTGACATTCACAAGTCCTGGTGGTTAAGATGTGGACATCTTTGGGGACCTTTATTCTTCTGGTTGCACCTACCCTTCGATGAAAGAGGAGAGTGAAAAAAGCTGATTCAAAACTCAACATTCAAAAAGTAAGATCATAGCATCCGGTCCTATCATTTCATGGCATTAAATGGGGAAACAATGAAAACAGTGACAGATTTTATTTGCTTGGGCTCCAAAATCAGTGCAGATGGTGACCACAGCCACAAAATTAAGACACTTGCTCCTTGGAAGGAAACCTATGATAAACCTAGACAGTATATAAAAAAGCAGAGACATCACTTTGCAGACCAAGATCCTTATAGTCAAAGCTATGGTTTTTCCAGTAGTCATGTACAGATGTGGGAGTTGGACCATAAAGAAGGCTGAGTGCCAAAGAACTGATGCTTTTGAATTGTGGTGCTGAAGAAGGCCCTTGAGAGTTCCTTGGGCTGCAAGAAGATCAAATCAGTCTATCCTAAAGGAAATCAAGCTTGAATATTCATTGGAAGGACAGATGCTGAAGCTGAAGCTCCAATACTTTGGCCACCTGATGAGAAGAGCTGACTCATTGGAAAAGACCCTGATGCTAGGAAAGATTGAGGGCAAGAGGAGAAAGGGAAGACAGAGGATGAGATGGTTGGATGGCATCACCGACTCAATGGATATGAGTTTGAGCAAACTCTGTGAGATAGTGAAGGACAGGGAAGCCTGGCATGCTGCAGTGCATGGGGTTGCAGAGTCAGACACAATTTAGCTGAACACCAAGAGCCCTCCAATTCTTAGCTTTGTGATGTGGGTAGAAACGCTGCCAAGTTGGTTCTGCTTTGCTAGCAGCTTCTGCCAACTGGAGGGAGGGTGGAAGGCTGGAGAGGGGAGAGGGATTTGTCTGCACTGCCCCTTTCACTTCTTGGGTGTTTGAGGAATAATATCTCAATGTGGCCTGAATATAGCTTGCATCACCCCTCTTTTTCCTCAGACGACCATACCTGTTACTCTTCTCTCTTGTGACAATGGGTATTTTGTGAAGCATTCAGAAGACAGCCTCATTTTTTACCTTAACATGAAATGACATATTCTTTATGTGTGATGCTCACAGAATACATCTCTGAATATGTTATGGCAAACTAACAGGAGTGCTTGAGGAGGGTCATGCCATCACCCAATCTTAAGTGTGTGCGTGCTCAGTCATGTCTGACTCTTTGTGACCCGTGGACTGTAGCCCACCAGACCCCTTTGCCCATGGGATTCTCTAGGTAAGAATACTGGAGTGGGTAGCCATTCCCTTCTCCAGGTGATCTTCCTGACCCAGGGATAGAAGCTGTGTCTCTTGCATTGGCAGGATTCATTACCACTTGAGCCCATTGGGAGGTAGGTTATTAAATTCATGCCTATTTACTGAAACTAGGCATGCATCATTAATCTATATTTTTAAAAGTATATATTTGTAATAGTTTATAAATTCAGTATTTTTGCCTTGAAGCTTTTTTATATGTTAATTTTCTTAACACTCATTTTTATGAAAGCATCTAAAACCTTTTTGAAAACCCTATAAAAAGGAATTTTAACTGTATTTATTTTTTGGCCACGCTGTGAGACTTACAGGGTTTTTAGTTCCTCAACTAGGGAATGAATATGAGCCGGTGACAGTAAGAGCGCAGTCCTAACCACTGGGCCACCAGGGAATTCCCTACAAAAGGAATTTTAAAAATTCTGTCTGTAAATTAAATGACAAGCAATATCAGAGTTTGGACATACATTTAACATCAAACCAGAGAATGTTTTCTGAAAGAAGCAGGCATATTAAATGCATTAGATGTTTAGCACCCATCTAGTAAGTGTATTAAGAGTTTTCAGGTCCATCACAAATTTATATAAGCACTTTTGGTTGTTGTTTTATATCAGTTAAGGTAGGAATTCAATTGCCTCAGGGATATCATAGCCTTTAAAAACCTTTTAAAAAAATATTGTGGCAAAAAACACATGGGCTTCCCTGGTGGCTCAGAAATAAAGAATCAGCCTGCAATGCAGGAGACAAGGGTTTGATCCCTGGGTCAGGAAGAGCCCCTTGAGGAGGAAATGACAACACACTTCACTGTTCTTTCAGGGAAAATCCCATGGATAGAGGAGCCTGGTGGGCTATAGTCTATAAGGTCACAAAGAGTTTAACAGGACTGAGCAACTGAGCACGCAGGAGGCAAAATACACATAACATGAAATTTACCATCTTAACCACTTTTAAATGTCAGCTGCTAACAGAATTGTGTCTCACAGATAGCACATTGAGGTCCAAACAGAGCCAACCCTTCGCTTTTAAACACACGCATTGTAAAGTTACTTGATGGATATTTATTATAATTATTTATGGCTGCATTTAACAAACTTTTCTTTCTGTTTGATGCTATTTACACTACTGTTGTATAAAGGAAGCGGATGACAGTAAAATCCCACCAATAAATAATCTTCATTTAATTGTGATTTACCTTATGAATTGTGTGATCATCCACTCTTCCTGAGAAGATTCAAAGCCCAATGTGCTTTTTCGATAGCGCAGATACTTAAGGGTCGCCAAGTGGCTAGGAATGAAAAGTGTTTCTAATGATTAAAAAAAAAAAAAAAGTGGTATTAAGTACATTCACACTGGTGAATGTACTTAATCTGGTATTATATTATAATTAAATCTGGTATTATACAATACCAGACCCTGGGTATTCTCTGGGGATACTCTAAAAACACCATCAGACATAAATTTCCCTGCAGTGCAAAATGCACAGCTGAGGACTGTGATGTCTCACACCTGTGGATATGCTGAGATCAGTCCTGCACGGAGATGGGCCCTGGAAGTCTGACCTCCCACGGGGGACTCTGCCTGGGTTGCTGACCTCAAGGCCCAGTAGTGAGGACGGGGACGAAGGGCGGGGCCTCCACGTGTCAAAAGTCACAGGTCAAAATCAAGCAAGACCCCCACTTGCAGAGTATGATGAGCGTCTTTGTTCCTAAGTAAAAGTCATGTTTCCACGGTGACCTTGATCCCTGCCCGACTTTTTCCCGGCCCCGGAGGTCACCAGACCCCCTCCTCACCCACCCTGTCCAGTCCTCTCTAGTCCCGGTTCCGGACAGGGACGCTCCTTGTGAAAACTGAGTCAGGACTTCGAGTCCAGGAGGAGGACTTGGGAGGGCCCGCCGGCACAGAAGCAAGTTCTGCTCAGAGCCCGGGGCAAGTAGATAGTATCCCGAAGCCTAGCCACTCAATCAGTCAGAGGGCGGGAAAAATCAGAGGCGCTCGGGCGGGCCGGAAAATTGTCCAATCAGGGGCACAAGGAGGCGGGTCTCGGGAAACCTTCCAGTCAGGAGCCCCGACAGTAAAAATGTTCGAAGATTGCCCAATCAGACCGGCGAAGTGTGAAGAATTTCCCAATCATAATCCCGGACGAAAAGAGTGTCAGGAATACCGTCCAATCGGGGTCGGGGGCGGGCACGCTTCCTGCCCGAGTGAGGGTAGTTCTCTGGGGGCCTTGGCGCTGCTGCGCGCCTTCCCCGCCGGCCCAGGTGTCAGGTCTCTGTGGCTCTCACCTGCCCGGGCCGCTGGGAGGACTCCCGGGAGAGCCCGGAGCCGGGAAGAGATGGTGAGTGGGCGGGACCGGGCCCAACATCGGGAAGGGCTGATTTGAACCGGCTGGAAGCGGTCCCGGGCTGGGGTCCTGGCGTCCTGTCCGGTCCCCGCATGTGTGTCAGCGGTCTCAGAGCTACCCGGGTGACCCAGATGCTCACAGCTGCCTTCCGCACAGGGCCCTGAGAACACCAGCCCCTGGTCGGTTCCTCCCAGCGGACAGTCTGCAGGGGCGGGCGGGGAGCTTGGGGAGACCTGCTTGGGGACCTTGGACTGGGAGGGGTCACCTGGTAGGTCCTCGGTCCTGAGTGACCCCAACTCCAGCCCTCATTTCTTGGAGGGACACTAGTTGTCAGCTGACCGGACGCCTGAGGGTAAAAGGCAAATAATTCCTGATCCGTGGATTCTCACAAGGTAAGTGAGAAAAACTAACGCCAAGGTCAAGGAAAACGCACTATCAGGTGGGGTAGCACCCCTCAAACCGCCACCCCCGCCCAAGCAAAATGCACAGGCGACACAGCGGGGACACTGCTGGTGTCCTTTGTTCAGAGAGCACTTCAGTGAGCGATTGGGGAGGGGTGCCCCACGTGGTGGCGTGGCTGCACTTGACCCTTTGGTTATCTTTGTCTGGGGACCCTGCCGCTCCTTGGGTTTGTTGCCTTGAAAAGATGTGTTCGCTTACTGGAACCTCAGATTTTCAGCAAATGTAAAATAAATCTAATTAATACAGCGGGAAACAAAATAAAATATTTTCAAAGGGGTGAGTTTCAGAAGAAAGAAAAAAAAGGAAATATCTTCCATTCCGTTCGTTAAACATTCTTTTAAAATCACCTGTCTGTGGTAAGTTTCTGAGGTCTGTCCTTTTGAGTTAACAAATGGAATTCTGGGGCATAGCCTCCAAAGTTCCAGGGGAAAGCATGTCAGAGAAATAGAGATTTCCCTTCCTGTCAGCTGCAGAGAAGTGAAGGAAATACCTCATAGCATGATAGGTAAAGATGGTGAAGATTCACCCAAAAATATCAGTTATTTAATTTCTGACAGTAGATGCTATTGTTGTTCATTACCTGCAATACACTTTGCTTAAATCTGCAATAAATTGTTTATTATCCTTGAAACCTGTGGGTATACACAGATCTTACTTAGACACCAGTTTGTCCGGTCCTTTGTGCTGAAGTGTCTGTCATTTCTGCTTGGCTCTGCTTGGCTCTCAGTGGCTGCTCTGTAGTGAATCAGGTCTCCTTTTAGACACAGGTCTGCTTTGGACTTTGTTCCTCAAGGTAGATCAAATGGCCCATTCCTCTGCCAATTCATCTTCTCAGGAGTGCTGCTGCTTTAAAATCCTTGCAGTGTGCCAGGCAGGTTCTCTCCTGGCTCTTCAGAATATTTTGACTGTTTAGGGGCATTTGTTTTCATTAGGTTGGAAAGTTAGTATTTGTTAAATCCTAAAAAAAAAAAATCTGTTTTGGGGATTTAATGGGATTTTATAACGATCCTAGATCTGTCTTGGGAGGATCAATATTTTGGTAACTGATTTCTTTTTAACAATGTGTGCCGTCTTGTCATTTATTTCATTTTTCTTTGTTACTATCCTTAGTGTTTTTAAATTTTTCTTTTTCTTTTTTTTAATGCATTATTTATTTATTTGGTTCCACTGCGTCTCAGTTGCAGATTTTGGGATATCTTAGTTGTGGCATGCGGGATCTGGTTCCCTGACCAGGAATTGAACCTGGACTCCCTGCATTGGGAGCTCAAAGTCTTATCCACTGGACCACCAGGGTAGTCTAATTATTAGGTTCTTTTTATAGCCGTCATTAAACTTATTTTGTACTACTTCAATTTGGCTTTTACCATGGTGTATGTTATCTTTTCAAAGTGACCTTTCCAGGATCTTCCCTGATGGTCCATTGGTTAAGATTCTGTGCTTCCAATGCAGGGGATTGGGTTTGATTCCTCATCAGGGAAATAAGATCCCACATGCTGCATGGTATGGTCAAAAAATAAAGTGACCTTTCCAATTTGCTGTTGCTTTTAATTAGAAAGGTAATGAAATTTATATTGAGTTTTTATCCTGAGATCTTGTTCTTATAATTCTATGATTATCATTTTGTTCTGTTGGTGTCATAGATGTACAGTTGTTTGAGTTAGGCATTGAGACAACCTGTTTTCTAGTGTTGCATGTTTGTGCATTTTCTGGACTGGATCACTAGTATAATGTTGACTAAGAGGTTAGCTGGCCATACTTCATTTGTATCTAATTGTCTTGGAAAAAACAGTTAACTTCATAGAATTTATATGTTCTTTTGTTTTTTTTTTTTTAATTTTTCTTCTCATCTGTTTTCCTTTATCTAATCATGCATACTATCATCTGTTTCCCACTGGTAAGAGTGTTTTTAAATGTATGATTGTTGAATATTATAAAATGGCTTTCATCAACACTGAGATGATTAGAGATAATTCCTATGAGTTGATTATAGCGTTTTCTGTTGTATAAGATGACATCAGTGCAGGAAAATGCATATGACATATATAGTTGACAGAAATATTGAAGAAAAAAAAAATCCTCTGTGAAATGAAACTCAGCCCTCAATGTAGAACCAGCTTTCCTACCAAACTGGAAATGAACCCAAATGACAGGCCCCTCACTCTCCAAATTCAACCAATATGTTGAATATGTTGAATTATATCAAGATATATATATGTGTGTGTGCTTGTGTACTCAGTCATGTCCAGCTCTTTGCGACCCCATGGTCTACAGCCCACCAGGCTCCTCTGTCCATTTCTAGGCAAGAAAACTGAAGTGGGTTGCCATTTCCTTCTCCAGGGAATCTTCCAGACCCGGAGGGGGGGAACCCAAGTCTCCTATGTCTCCTTTATTGCAGGCTCTCTAGGGTTCTTTTTATAAGGGCACTAATCCCATCCCTGGTCAACTCCATAGGGCTCCACCTCTGAACACCATCACCTTGGGGATTAGGTTTCAACCTGAATTTGGTGGCGGAGGGCACAGACCCTCAGCCCATGGTAGTTCCCAAGACCACCCTGGCTTCACAGATTTACTTGGTGGCTCCCTGGCTTCAATGTGTAGCCGTGCTCACGGCTCTGATTTCTGACCACAGGAATAAAGCAGAGTCAGCAGGAGAAAGGTGCCCAGGCCAGTTCCTGAGGAGACTGAGTGCAGGATCCTAAGGGGTCCCCACTCCCCCCAACAGAATCACTCCAGCCTGTGGTGACAACATGGTTGACGTGCCATCCACCCGGGACACTAATGAGAGGCTCAGTTACCAGGGTTGTGTTGGGGTGGTCATGTAGACAACCTGTGATTAGTCTGAACTGAGATTGCATACTCCCAGAAGGAAAGCTGGTCTTCAGCATAAACCATATTATTAGCATAAAAGGGCAGAGGAGCCACTGCTGTCAGGGCGGTGAGAATGCTGCCCAGACCCAAGTTCCCACATGCCAGCAGAAGGCCAGCCCTGCATGCCAGACTGAAGAAAGACTGGACAGCCCCTTGCCCTTCGTTTTGTCTAAACTTTTGCTTCAGCTCTAGGAACGTTTTTCTTCTTCCTCCTAATGCAGTACAGTCTTCTAACTTTTTTCCCTCACCCAAAGCTCACTTTTGGGAACTTGAGGGGCGTTTCACCTCCTGCCCAGAAGAGAGCAAAAATCGGAGGTGTCACCTGGGCTGGACTTTGATTGTCCTCTCACTTGGCCAGCATGGCCACTGGCAGCTGGTATATTCAGTGAGCTGGCCCTCCTGGAGTTGGATCGCTCATTTTCACCATGATCAACTTTTAACCTCACAGCAGGCAGTTCAGTCGCCTTTCATACCCCAGATGACCCAATCATCATCCCCTCTTCCTTCTTCCTCCACTTCCCAGACAGTGCTTTTCCCATATTTTAGTGAGTCTGGATTGTTTCAGCAAATCCCACTTCTGATGTGTCTGGTGACCACAGGACCACCTGTGGTTCTGCAGGTAAGACTCACGTGACTCAGCACAGAGTTGTACTCATGATTAGAATTTATCACAACAAAAGGACAAAGCAGACTCAGCAAAGGGAAAATGGCCATGAGGAGAAATCTGAAGAAAACCATGTGCAGGCTTTTAAGAGACCTTTCCCAGTGGAGTCACACAGAACACACCTCACAGCCCAGGTTGTGACAGCACGTGAAATACTATTTCCTGGAGGCTCATTAGGGACTCAGTGCCCTGGGGTTTTTATTGACAGCTGATTTTGTAAGCATTCTGTGCCCAGCATGGACCCAAAGCCCAGATACCCAAACAAAAAGCAGGTGCTCAGTATTAACTATCAGTTTAGAGATAGGGAGTAATAATTATGGCAGTGTGAAACCTTCAAAAATTTAAGTTCCCAGATGCCAGCCAAGGCCAGTGTTGCCTCCTCACCAGCAATCATTGCCAGGGATCAAGTTAAGGTTTGCAGTGTCCACTCTTTTCCTGCACGTTCAATAGAGGAAACACTACAGGCAACTGTATCATGAGTAACTCACCTGACTCAAGAAGCTCCTGTACAATAGGGATGTTCCTGTTATGCTCTGTTGAATAGGTACTAAATTATGGCATCAGAATTGTTGCAGAAAAGTGTTTTCTTTCCTCTGCTCATGGAATGTCTCTGGGTTGATGAACTTTAAAAGCAAAAGAAAAAAAAAAAGGAAACATGGCTTAAGGGAGGCATGCAGCTCAGTCGCTCTTGTGCTTAGGACTTGGCCTGACTTGCTCATGTGCCCACCAGGGGAGGGACGTGGACATAAGAGAAACTGAGAGTGCAGCCTCTAGGTTGTTTTGTGTGGAATCACTGTCTCCTGGAACTTGAGGCAAGGCAGTGTTTCCTTTGTAGGAAGGCACTGGAATCCTTTATGTATTTTATAGTCAAGGGTAAATTTGCTGTCAAATGTTTCTGATGTTAAAGTCCTTTGCAAAGTAGGACTCTTAACCTTTGCCTCAAGATCATAAGGGTACTCTTTTATGCCTCCTGTAGAAGCGCATCATGGAACGTGTGTGTGTGTGTGTGTGTGTGTGTGTGAGCTCAGAACTGCTGAGCAGCAGCACTGGCTCAGGAATGTAGAGAATGTATGGAATTTTTACTTCCTATTATCATGAAAATAGAGAAAAAGAGTAGAAACTGGGCTGGTGATAACTATTACACAGAAAAGTTAAAATTAATGCATATTCAAAAGAAATACTTTATTCAGCCAGTTGGACTGTCCTTATGACCTGGAGTTCTTTAAGACAATATGGCTAGTTGGCCCTTGCAGCACACTGGGTTCCCACAGGCCCATTGGCCTGTCATATTTGGTTGGGGGAAAAGAAGGAAATATGTCCAGTCCTTCATTGTACGTTCTTAAAAATCATTTATTTATTTTTGCCCGCTCCATGTGGCAGTGCGGGATCTTAGTTTCCTGACTAAAAATTGAACCTGTGCTCTATGAATTGCAAGTGCAGAGTCCTAACCACTGGACTAGGGAAGTCCCACCTTCATTGTGCTTTTATTCCTTTGAACCTCATTCAGGCTGACCTTGAGCTTCATGTGTTTATGAATGGTGTGCTGTAGGAAGAAGCTATAAAGTCTCTTGTGTCGCAAGGGGGTTGACAGTTCTTAAAATGCAAATATTGTAATGGACACATGTATATGTATGGATGGGTCCCTTCACTGTTTACCTGAAACAATCACAGCATTGTTAACTGGCTGTGCGTGCATGCTAAATTGCTTCAGTCATGTCTGACTCTTTGAGGTCCTACAGACTGTAGCCTGCCAGGCTCCTCTGTCCAGGAGATTCTGTAGGCAAGAATACTGGAGTGGGTTGCCATGCCCTCCTCCAGGGGATCTTCCTGACTCAGGGACTGAACCCATGTCTCTTATGTCTCCTGCATTAATAGGTGGGTTCTTTACCATTCAAAGCACCTGGGAAGCCCTTAATTGGCTGTACTGCAATATAATATGTTTTTGGTGTTAAGAAAATAAATAAAAGTTTCAAAAAATGGAAATATTGTTTCGTTTGTATAGTACTTTCATTTCTCCAACATGATTTGAATCCTTTGGTTAGAGAAGAGTGAGACTTGAAGTGGTCACAGTAGAAATGTAGAGGTAAGTTGAGTGTGTTAGTGGTAGTGGTTTAGTTGCTAGTCATGTCTGACTCTTGCAATCCCATGGACTGTAGCCTGCCAGGCGCCTCTATCCATGAAATTCCCCAGGGAGGAGCACCTGAGTGGGTTGCCATTTCTTTCTCCAGGGGATCTTACTGATCCAGGGATCAAACCCAGGTTTCCTGCATTGCAGGCAGTCTCCTGCTTTGCAGGCGGATTCTTTACCAACTGAATCACTAATCTATGAGGGCAGGAGTGTGGACATAAAGTTAGGAGGTGTGACGACTGAGTCACAGGGTGAATGTTTGGTGACCACAAAATCTTGTTTGAGCTTCCTGTGACTTGAGCCCAGTTGCTCAGTGTCATGAATCACATCCAAGCTCCTGTACATATTTTGGTTGTTTCAGGACTTGGTGGTCTTCGAGGATGTGGCTGTGAACTTCACCCTGGAGGAGTGGGCTTTGCTGAATTCTGCTCAGAAGGAGCTCTACAGAGACGTGATGCTGGAGACCTTCAGAAACCTAGCCTCAGTGGGTAAGAATGATGTCATTCTTTCACTTAGTTATTTAGAGACAAGCATATCTGGCACATCACTGTTCTGAGAAGTAGAATGTAGAAAGGAAATATGTTAACTAATAAGACAGAAGTGGTCACAACTACCATAGAATCTACCCACAAAAAATGTGATTCTGTGTATTAAACTGAGTTTTTCTTTTCTGTAAAGAAAGCTCCCTTAGTATCACTAGTAGATACAGGTTTCATGGGGCCTTGGAGCCAGTAAATTCTATTTTAGAACCTTGAGAGAATTTTACTGTGTTTATTAAAGTGCTCACCATTTTGACCCCTTGTACTGTTTTTGATGAAGTCTTGACACAGATAAATGCCTCAGTTTGTTTCTTGACTAACAGGTAGCTTCTTTCTTGTAAGATTTGTTCCCTTTTTGCTTTCAGATGATGAGACTCAATGTAAGGCCAATGGGTCAGTTTCTCAGCTAACTCTTCTGGGAAGCCCCCAGACGTTTACACCCTAGAGATGTCCCTGGGACCTTCCCCGAGGTCTACCAGGACAGCGAAAAACCACCAAGAATTCCAAGAAAGAGTATTAGCACAGACAAGACACATATAGCAGGAATAGGGAGTGTCCCGGAGCCTGCTGGACTCGGATTCCCCTGGGTTCATGGCCTCCTTGGGTCCATGACCTTTACCCAGAGCCTTGTCATGGGCGGGGCGTTCGCTTGTCCTCTTCTTGGCTCCCGACAATTTGAATCCTTTGGTTAGAGAAGAGTGAGACTTGAAGTGGTCACAGTAGAAATGTAGAGGTTAAGTTGAGTGTGTTAGTGGTAGTGGTTTAGTTGCTAGTCATGTCTGACTCTTGCAATCCCATGGACTGTAGCCTGCCAGGCGCCTCTATCCATGAAATTCCCCAGGGAGGAGCACCTGAGTGGGTTGCCATTTCTTTCTCCAGGGGATCTTACTGATCCAGGGATCAAACCCAGGTTTCCTGCATTGCAGGCAGTCTCCTGCTTTGCAGGCGGATTCTTTACCAACTGAATCACTAATCTATGAGGGCAGGAGTGTGGACATAAAGTTAGGAGGTGTGACGACTGAGTCACAGGGTGAATGTTTGGTGACCACAAAATCTTGTTTGAGCTTCCTGTGACTTGAGCCCAGTTGCTCAGTGTCATGAATCACATCCAAGCTCCTGTACATATTTTGGTTGTTTCAGGACTTGGTGGTCTTCGAGGATGTGGCTGTGAACTTCACCCTGGAGGAGTGGGCTTTGCTGAATTCTGCTCAGAAGGAGCTCTACAGAGACGTGATGCTGGAGACCTTCAGAAACCTAGCCTCAGTGGGTAAGAATGATGTCATTCTTTCACTTAGTTATTTAGAGACAAGCATATCTGGCACATCACTGTTCTGAGAAGTAGAATGTAGAAAGGAAATATGTTAACTAATAAGACAGAAGTGGTCACAACTACCATAGAATCTACCCACAAAAAATGTGATTCTGTGTATTAAACTGAGTTTTTCTTTTCTGTAAAGAAAGCTCCCTTAGTATCACTAGTAGATACAGGTTTCATGGGGCCTTGGAGCCAGTAAATTCTATTTTAGAACCTTGAGAGAATTTTACTGTGTTTATTAAAGTGCTCACCATTTTGACCCCTTGTACTGTTTTTGATGAAGTCTTGACACAGATAAATGCCTCAGTTTGTTTCTTGACTAACAGGTAGCTTCTTTCTTGTAAGATTTGTTCCCTTTTTGCTTTCAGATGATGAGACTCAATGTAAGGCCAATGGGTCAGTTTCTCAGCGGGATATTTATGGGAATAAAATATCCAAAGAACATAAAATATCAAAGTTCACTGGAAATGATTCCTGGCCCTTTGTCTTAGGAAAAATTTGGGAAGAACTCAGCATTGAAGATCAGTACACATACCAGAGTAGACACCCGAGGTGAGTTGCACTCAGAGAAAGCAGTATTTCAGGAGGGAATCTTAGCATGTCACGAAGTTTAAAAAGCAAACAAAGCACACGTAAGCCTAGGTCAGATTTGTTTATTCATAGAGAGTTTCACGAAGATTTTTTTAAATTTGACATTCATGTTATGCTAGAAACAGTTGAAAACAATCAGCAGGAGAGATCATGTTTAAGAAACACTTGTTTTTGTAATGGTTGCAGTTGAGCCCCCTTTCGTGGCATTGAGTTCATTCCACTTTAAAAGAAGTCAAATCAGTGAGAAAATTTACCCATTCAGTGAAATCCATGATAGTGTAATCCTGTGTGTATGTGTGTGTGTGTGCTCAGTCATGTCTGACTCTTTGCAACCCCATGGACTGTAGCCCATCAGGCTTCTCTGTCCATGAAATTCTCCAGGAAAGAATACTGAAGTGGGTAGCCATTTCCTCCTCTAGAGGGTCTTTCCGACTCAGGGATTGAACCCATGTCTCTTGTGTGTCCTGCATTGGCAGGTAAATTCTTTATCACTGCACCACCTGGGAAGCCCTGTAATCCTTGTACTTACTAATAAAGTGAAACCATTTATAACATGCTTCTCATGTTTAACAGAAATCATGTGGTGGAAAGACTCCATGAAAGTAATGATCATTGTGGGGAAGGCTTCAGTCAGATTCCAAATCTTAACCTGTACCAGAAAACTCTCACTGGAGTAAAACAGTATGAATACAGTGCATACAAAAAAGCCTTCATGCATTGTTCACTCAAGAATCACAGCACTGCTCGCACTGGACATAAGCCGTATCAGTGTCAGGACTGTGGGCAGGCCTACAGTTGTCATTCACACCTAAGGACGCATGTGAGAATCCATAATGGAGAAAGGCCCTTTGTGTGTAAATTATGTGGAAAAACCTTTCCCCGTACTTCTTCCCTCAACCGGCATATCAGGATTCATACGGCTGAGAAAACCTACGAATGTCAGCAATGTGGGAAAGCCTTCATTGATTTTTCAAGTCTTACTAGTCACGTGAGAACTCACACTGGAGAGAAACCATATCAATGTAAGGCATGTGGGAAAGCTTTCAGCTACTCCTCAACTTTTCGAAGACACATGATAACACACACTGGAGAGAAGCCCTATAAGTGTATGGAATGTGGGGAAGCCTTCAGCTACTCCTCAACTTTTCGAAGACACATGATAACACACACTGGAGAGAAGCCCTATAAGTGTATGGAATGTGGGGAAGCCTTCAGCTACTCCTCAACTTTTCGAAGACACATGATATCACATACCGGGGAGACACCACATAAATGTAAGGAATGTGGGGAAGCCTTCAGTTATTCCTCAGCTTTTCGAAGGCACATGATAACACACACGGGAGAGAAGCCCTATGAATGTAAGCAATGTGGAAAAACCTTCATCTATCCCCAGTCATTTCGAAGACATGAAAGGACGCACGGTGGAGAAAAACCCTATGAATGTGACCAGTGTGGAAAAGCATTCAGCCACCCATCCTCCTTTCGAGGACACATGAGGGTGCACACTGGAGAGAAACCTTACAAGTGCAGTCAGTGTGGGAAAACTTTCAACTGGCCCATATCCTTACGAAAACACTTGCGAACTCACACTAAGGAGAAACCCTATGAATGTAAACAGTGTGGAAGAGCCTTCAATTTGTCTGCTTGCTTTCGAGAGCATGTGAGAATGCATCCTGGAGACAAGTCTTATGAATGCAAGCTATGTGGGAAAGCCTTCTACTGTCACCTCTCCTTACAGAAACATATGAGAAGGCACACCGCCGAGAAGCTTTATGAATGCGAGCAATGCCAGAAAGCTTTCAGTTGGCCTGAACTTTTGCAACAGCATGTGAGAACGCATACTGCAGAGAAACCGTACGAATGCAAGGAATGTGGTAAAGTCTTCAAGTGGCCCTCATCCCTACCAGTACATATGAGAATGCACACTGGAGAGAAACCGTACGAATGTAAGCAGTGTGGGAAGGCCTTCAGTTGTTCCTCATCCTTAAGAAGACATGTGAGGATACATACTGTGGAGAAATACTACATGTGTAATGGAGAAAATCATCCTGCAAATGAATTCATGCACAGTGCTTCAGAAAATTCACACGAGGAGAGAAATCTTATAAAAGTTGAAAATCCGGTATTGCCTTTATGAGTCCCTCGTCATGGAAGTGGATCCATATGGAGTGTGTTTCTAGTTCTTTTTGATAAAAATTAACTGTTAAAGTACTCTCTTAACTATAGTACATAAATTTTGTAGGTAGTGGGTTTTTTTTTTTTTAATGTTTCAGGAAATAAAACATTTATCTTTCCAGTTGGACTCATGGGTGATTTGCAGTGTATTTTTAATATATACACTATATTAAATATATAGTTTAGAGCAACTACCCAATGTGGGGCTCAAACCCATGACCCTGGGTTAAAAGCCTGATGCTGTACTGACTGAGCTAGCCAGGCAGTTAAATATATACTTTAATATCTTAGTTGTTTAAATTGTCCTTTCAAGGGTCATTGGAAAAATGACCTTGTGGTATTTGTTGAAATTTTCCTACTGGCTTAGCGTGGCAGATACTGGATAATCAACTATTACATGTTTTCCACCATGGTATTGAGACAGCCTTTATTTATTTAGGCCAGTGGAGCCTTATTTCATTTTTCTTAAAAATGGTAGAAATTTGTAATTATGCAGAGTTCTTCAAAGTGTGTAGTCTCATGTGAATTGTTACTTTCAACTTTTATGCTTTGCTCTGTCTTTGCTTGTGATTGTGAATTAAAACTAGGTTTTTTATTTAAGAGACACTTATGATGTCACCATGAGATATCGAGTTCTGGATTGTGTTACATCAGCATGAGTAGTGTTAGGAACTACAGTTCCCTAGATCCCTTCCCTTTATGATTCTGTGTCCAAATATACTAGAAGCCTATTGATGTGAGAAACAGAAGGCAGAAGTGAAGCCATTACTAAGATTTTGCAGTTTGTTGTTGTTGTTTAGTTGCTCAGTTATGTCTGACTTTTTTGGGACCCCATGGACTGTAGCCCACCAGACTTCTCTGTCCGTGGGATTCTCCAGGCAAGAATACTGGACTAGGTTGCCATTTCCTTCTCCAGGGGATCTTCTTGACCCAGGCATGGAACCTATGTCTCCTGCATTGGCAGGTGGATTCTTTACCACTGAGCCACCAGAGAATCTATAGATACATTTACTTACCACTAAAATAATCATTTTGGTTTCCTGACTTACATTTTGAGGCATATTGTTGGGAAAAGGTCAAAGAGCTGCTTCTAGAACTGTTCCTTAAGATAGTAAGCCTGAGGCAACACTCACTTATGGAAGAATTTCAGAAATTATTGCTGCTCTCAAGTTCTGGGGGATACAAGGACTTTTTTTTTTTAAACTAAACTTTTCTTTCAGTTTGGTTATTATAAAAGCTATGAAAGGGGAGTTTGAAATATCACAATCCTTTTTAAGGTGCTTTTTAAAAACTTATAGTTGATTTATACAATGTGTTAACTTCCTCTATATAACAGTGATTCATTTATATATATGTGTATGTGTGTGTGTATTCTTTTCATTTTCTTTTCCATTATGGTTTATCACAGTCATTGAATATAGTTCCCTGTGCTATAGTAGGACCTGGTTGTTTATATTATTATTGATACATTATTGTTGGCTAAAGTCCTTATAGGCTAGTGCTGAAGTTCCAACTTCAACCCCAGGTATTTTGATTGGCAAACAACCTGATACCCTATCAACTACATACACCCAAATCAGGTCATATGATTTAATTCTATTTGTGAACTTGCCTGACAGTGCAGTGATTAAGATTCTGTGCTTCCACTGCAGGGGCACAGGTTCATTCCTGCTCGGGGAACTAAGATCCTTCATGCCACATGGTGCCCCTACACCACCCCGACCCAAAAGGTATTTGAAAGTCATGCTACTATGCCCACCCTTGTCTTCAGATTCTGCAAGTGGCTCAGCCTCTATGGCTGTGTCATAGAACCACAAAAATCTGATGCATAGCAACCCAGGTTGGTATCCACTGGGGTCACATCCCCAGGCCACATGGCCCTGAAACCAGGCCCTCCAGAAGCTGCAGGAGTCATCATTTAAGAAATGTATCTAGGGCTTCCCTGCTGGCTCAGTGGTTAAGAATCTACCTGCCAACGCAGGAGACACGGGTTTGATCCCTGGTCTGGGAAGATCCCACGTGCCAGGGAGCAGCTAAGCCCATGTGCAACAATTACTGAGCCTGTGCTGAAGCAGCAAGTGAAGCCGCTGCAATGAGAAGCCACTGCACTGCAACTGGAGAAAAGCCTGCCGCAGCAAGGAAGACCCAACACAGCCAAAAATAAAGAATTTTTTAAAATGAAATTGTCTTATAAAAACAACTATATCTGATTTTTTAAAAAATCTATATAGACTTACTAAAGAGGAATCTTATTCACAGAGGGCTGCCAGAGGACCGAGGCTCGGGCCTGAGAGGGGCCAGCGTCTCCAACCACAGAGCAAAGGGCTTTTCCCATCTGTGTGAAGCGGGGCAGCAGGATGAAAGTTGGGCTAGTGAGGGGCTATGCGGATTCTGAGACCACTAGGACTGGACGGGGGCCTCCTGGGTACCTTGTCTGGAAAAGCTGACCCAGGGCTTTTTCAGAACCTCACTGTTGCTCAGACGGGGGTGGGGGGGTGAGGGGCTGCGATCCAGCGTTCCCATTCCCTGTGGGGAGAGAGCCTGATACCGTGGGCTATGAAATAGGACTCGAAAGAACTTGGTCAAGCCCATATTGGGAGCCGGGTCAGGAGAGCGGGGCCTCCTGGTGCCAGAGGCCACACGTCAAACACAGTGGGATCCTGGCTTATATAAGGACGTGAATGTCTTTGTTCTTAAAGAAATGGCACAGACCCACAATGACTTCACCCCCGGACCATTGGCCCCTGAAGTCACCAGGCTCTCCTGTCCCATCTCATCCAGTCCCGACCCTGGACAGGGGTCTCTCTGCGAGGCAAGTAAGTCAGGACTTCTCAATCCAGGTCCTCGTGGCCTCGCGGGCTCCGGGAAGGAGGCTCTGGAGATCCAGGAACTGGCAGATATGGTGAGTTCTCTGACCGGAGCCGGAGACCGGCTGGGGTTGATTAGGACCCGTTGGGAGCTGAGGCAGGCCCGGGTCTCCGGCGCCCGCTCCTCTAGATAGCGACCCAAGTCTCCCCCTCGACCCCGTTGTCCTGTCCCTTCCCGTCCCCTCTTGAGTGGAAGTCTCGGCCTGTGAATGCGCCCCTTGGGGATCCCGGGGAGGACCGGGTGACCCGGGCAGTGGTCAGGGGCTGGGGTAAGGGCACCGGTCCTTTTCATGTTTTCCTTTTCATGAGCTTATTGATCATTTCTATTTCTTCTTTGGAAGAGTGTCTGTTGAAATGTTAGGTATCAGCATCTCCTGGATGCCCTTTAGCATTTCATTCACTCTGTTTCTAGTTTGCTGAGTATTTTTATCAAGAAAAGATGATGTGGGGTTGTTTTTCTTCCCTTTCTTAAAAAGCATTACGATGAGATATTTTGCATTTTTTTTTCCAAAAATTTTATTTATTTATTTTTGATTGTGTTGGGTCTTCACTGCTGCTGGGACTTTTCTCTAGTTGTGGCCAGCTGGGGCTACTCTCTAGTTGTGTGTGGGCTTATCATTGTGGTGGCTTCTCTTGTTGTGGTGCATGGGCTTATTTGCTCCACGGGATCAAACTAATGTCTCCTGCATTGGCAGGTGGATTGTTTACCACTGAGCCACTTGAGAAGCCCTTTCTGAGTCCTTTTCTTTTTTTTTTTTTAATCTTTTTTTTGCCTATCCACACGGCATGTGGGATCTTAGTTCCCCAACTGTGGATCAAACCCATGCCCCCTGCATTGGCAAAGCAGTCTTTTTTTTTTTCCCTTTGGTTGTGCCGGATCTTCGTGGCTGCTCTTGGGCTTTTTCTAGTCGCAGCGAGCAGAGGCTGCTCTTCATTGCCCAGGCTTCATATTGCAGTAGCTTTTCTTGTTGTGAAGCACAGGCTTTAGGCACTCGACCTCCAGTAGCTACAGCTCGTGGGCTCCAGAGTGCTGGCTCAGTAGTTACCCATGGGCTTAGTTGCTTCACAACATGTGGGATCTTCATGGACCAGGGATTGAACCCGTGTCCCCAGCATTGACATGCAGATTCTTTACTCCTGAGCCACCAGGAAAGTCCCAAAATTGATATGTTTTCACAGATACCTTTTCTGAGTCTACTGGGGTGATCGTGTAGTTTTTGTTCTTTATTAATAAGGTATATGATACCTTATTGGATGGAAGAGTCTGGTAGACTACAGTCCATGGGGTTGCTAAGAGTCAGACAAGATGGAGCAACTTCACTTTCACTTTTCACTTTCATGCATTGGAGAAGGAAATGGCAACCCACTCCAGTGTTCTTGCCTGGAGAATTCCAGGGACGGGGGGAGCCTGGTGGGCTGCCATCTATGGGGTCGCACAGAGTCGGACAGGACTGTAGCAATGCAGCAGCAGCAGCAGTAACTTTGTTTCTTTGAACCAAACTTTTTATTCCTGGAATAAATCCCACTTGGTCATGGTATTGAATCCTCTTTATATCTCTTTGGATTTGGATTGCTGACATTTTGTTGAGGATTTTTTTTTGTTTGTGTTTATATGGGATACTGCTCTGTAGCTTTCTTTATGTGTAATGTCTTTTTCTGGTTTTGGTATCAGCATAATGCTAGCCTCCTAGAAAGGGTTGGAAAGTGTCTCCCCACTATTCAATTTTGTATACGGATTCCCAATTATTAATACTATTGGTGTTTAACATCTTTTCATGTGGTTATTGGCCATTTGTATATCTTTGGAGAATTCTCTACTCACATTTATTGCCCCATTATTGAGTTGTCTTATTTGTCTTTTATTTTTTATTGTTGTCATGTTGTTTAGTCACTAAGTCATGTCTGACTCTTGCAACCCCATGGACTGTATCGTCCATCAGGCTCCTCTGTCCATGGGATTTCCCAGGCAAGAATACCGGAGTAGGTTGCCATTTCCTTCTCCAGGATTGTTGTTATGCGAATTTTTCACATACATTTCTGATATAGTGCTCTCATCAAGTATGTGATTAGCAAACTCAGTTGCAACCCTAGTTGAAGTAACTTTGCCTTCTTTGTAGCTGATGTTTGGGATTTCTTTTTTCTTCACATCTTGAACCCATATTTTTTTTGCTTAAAAAAACTCTAGTTTTTAGTTTTTTACTTGTTATCTTTTTATATCAATGTAGAGTAATCCCATATTTCTCTAAATACAATAATTAGGTTCTTCATTCTCCCTCTTAGAGTCTTTCTTACCCAACAGATGTGCTGAGCCCTGCATCCTGGATGGCCTGTATACCCTCAGTGTCCACCTCATCACAGGAGGGGTTGTGTCTCTGCCTCTGTCGTATATGAGGGGTCCAGACCAGACTGCTTCTTGCTGTTGCCTTTAGGTTCATGGTTATTCAGATCCAGAAGCACTGATGTTCTGATTCCAGTTCTTGAAGGTGACAAGACTGATAACTTTCGACCAAGCCAATGTCCATTTCCATGTTATCTGAATGATGGTTTCATTTATCAGTCTTTACCATGCCTCAGAATCTATTATCTCAGTAAGAACAGTTCTTTTTAGTCCTGTCTGCATTAGTCCATGTCTACTGTTGCTGTCACATTTTGCTTCAGTGTCCAGCACTTTGCATCACTGAGGAACCTGCATTGGATTTGCTGGTGTGTGGTCATTTCCCACAAGAGTGTGAGTTCAGGAGTCCTAGAAATTGAATCCAGTTCCCACCTGTTGGCCTCCCCATCCTCCCACACTCAAGGGTGAAAGGGGAGCCTCACTGACCCAGAATATATGACTCTTTCAGGACTCAGTGGTCTTTGAAGATGTGGCTGTGAACTTCACCCTGGAGGAGTGGGCCATGCTTGACCCTGGTCAGAGGAAACTCTACAGAGATGTGATGCTGGAGACATGCAGGAACCTGGCCTCTGTGGGTGAAGACAGCTTCCTCCCCACACTAAGTCTTTAGGGAACAGTTATTTCTTACAATGTCGTTTCTTACGAGGGACAGGGATGGAAATATGTTGGAAAAAAGACAGACATGGCCCCTGTCATTATAGAACCTACCTGTAATCAGGTTTTGCTTTTCCATGAAAATAGTTTCATGCATTGATTGACTTTTTGTCACTCTTGAGCAGAATCTCAAGGTTCCCTAATTTGGACAGTGAGAGAAGCATAATGGTTTCACCCTGTTAAAGTTACACTTGTCAATACACATTTGACACGTTGATCTTGCTGCAGTTAAACCCACACTGACCCATTGTCAGTGACATGAGGACTGTAGAATCAGCCCATCTCATGGACAGCTTGCTGTTCTCCACCCTCCCCATGAGGAACTTTCTCCACTAGCAGGATGGCAGCCACACACTATCCAACATCCCAAGGGCTGCTGGGTCTGTGGACACAGGCCTCGCCCAGGACCTCTGTACCTGAAATCACCAGGGAGCTCACCTCTTGGGAGGAGCAGGTTCTGGATAAGGCAGCGATGTTTGGACATACCCATTAGGAACATGACTAGGTCTCTGAGAAGGTGATGGGTATAATTAACCTGGCTTCCCTCTTGGAGTTTTCATCCATCCTTGCCCACTCAAGAAGTCTTTTTGTACCTCTCTGTACAAAGGGAGGATTTGGGAAAGTGCGTTTTGCCCCATTTCTTCCTTCTTTGATAATATTGATCAGATATCAGTCTCCATTCTTTTTGAAATATCTGAGTGAACAAAGCTGCCACTTTGACTCATTTTTCCTGTGATGGCCAAAATTCCAAATAGTCAAGGTCTTCTTTGTCCCCATGGCTATTTTCCCTTATAAAAGTTGTTTACGTTTTTGAATCTGTATATGGAAAGTAATCTACATATGGTTTCTTTTCTTTCCTTCATCCCACTGTTTCTTTCCTGAGAATTTAGTTACACTACCAATTGTTACAGGTTCTTGCCTTCAAGTTAAAACTAGATCGAGTACTCAGTGTGATATTTTGAAGAATGAACTGTGCAGTGAAGAGAAAAAAGTAAGAATCACAAGAAATGATTTCTGGTCTGTTTTTGGGGAAAACTGGATGTTTCTTGACATCGGAGGTCACCAGACCCTAGAAAGGGATTGGAGGTGAGTGGCACTGCCATGGTGGCTGGGGGATACCTGCAGCCTGTGAGACTCACTTGAAACTAAAGGAAAGGTGTAAACCTAGCTAACCAAATTTGTACTTAGAAAAATTTCAAAAGAAAATACTTTCCTAAATTTGATGTTGAGTATCTAAATCATAATGAGGTTGGAAACAAAATGATGGCCAAGATACCCTGTATTTAAGAAACACAGAAAATGTTGACTCTGTTTTAGCCCTCAGCCAGAGCATTAAACTTGTTGCACTTTGTCACAATGCAGAGAGTATAAACAATATGCTCATTCATTGAAAATGGCAAATATGTAGTCAAAATAATAATGAGCAATCATCAATAAATCATTAGTGAAGAAATCACTTATAATCATTCATCTCTAATACTGTGTTTCCCATTTTGAACAGAAATCATTTGGTGGAAAAGCTTTTCATAGATAATGAAGGTCATCACTGTCTGGAAGCCCTGAACCAAATTACAGATTTTACTGTGCATAAAGGATATTGGCCTGGAATTCAGCCCTGTAAATGCACTAAGTGTGGAAAAGCCTACAGGGGTTGTTCTTTCCAAAATCAGCAGAGATCTCTCCCTGGATACAGACATTATCCATGTGAGGAATGTGGGGAAGCCTGCAGCTGTGTCTCATGCCTAAGCCCTCCTAGGGGAACAGACATTGTAGAGGAACCTAATAAATGTCAGGATGCTGGGAGAACATGTAAGAGATGCGTGAAGAGTCATGGTAGTAAATGGTCTTCAGATTGTAAGAAATCTGGAAACGCTCTCGCTTTTTCCTCATCCTTTAAGGGACATGAGAGAGGTCAGCATGGACAGAAAACTCACATGTGTAAAGTCTGCGGGAAATCCTTTACCTATCATCCGTACCTTGCACGGCACTTGAGAACTCACACTGGAGAAAAACACTGTGAGTGTGAGGATTGTGAGCAAGCCCTCCAATATTCCTCATCCCTGGTTGGACATATGATGATACACACCACTGACAAACCTTATGTGTGTAAGAAATGTGGGAAATCCTTCAGTTGTCCCAAATACTTCAGAAGACACATGAAAACACACAGCGGCATGAAACCCTATGAATGCACAGAATGTGGCAAAGCCTATAGCTCCTCCTTATCCCTCAGGGAACATGCAGGAACACACAGTCAGGAGAAGCCCTATGAATGCCAGCACTGCGGGAAAGCCTTCAAGCATCAGAGATATTTTAAAAAGCACGTGAGGATGCACAGTGGAGCAAAGCCTACAGCTGCTCCATGTCCCTCCGGGAACATGAGAGAACACACACGGGGGAGAAGCCCTTTGGATGTCCACTCTGAGGAAAAGCCTTCATGCGTCACGCCTCCCTTCGTGGACACCTGAGGACACATAGCAGGGAGAGAGCCTACACATGCATGCAGTGCCAGAAAGCTTTCCATTAGCCCTCCTCCTTAAGGAAGCATGTGCGAATGCACAATGAGGAGAGGCCCTACGCATGTCAGCAGTGTGGGAAAGCTTTTTGGTCCCCCACAAACCTGCGAGGACACATGAGGACACACACCGGGGAACAACACTGAACACCAGGCCTCTGGGAGAGACTTCATTTTCACTTCAGACTTGGAATGTGAGCAGTGCCCTGAAGCAGAACCTTGTGAATGGGACACTGTGGGAAAACCTTCAGCTCTTCACTTATTTCATACACAAAAACTCGGGGTGTGACAGAAATCTCTTAATGGATATAAATATGGTTTTCCCTTCCTAAGTGCCTCATCCTCAATAGGGATCCCAGGGTATTCATTTCTAGTTCACGTTGCTAATCTGAACACTTAAGGTAAATATCTCTCTGTCGCCTTCATCCGTACTAGTTATATTTTGTTACCTTTGATTTTACATCATCATGCAGTCATATAAAGTTTATCTCATTTCTATTACAATGTGTTTTGGGTGGGAGGACTATGTCTCTTGGCTTGGGGGAATCTTAGTTTTCTAACCAAGCATGATATCTGTGCTTCTGCAGTGAAAGTGCAGAGTCCTAACCATTGGACCGCCAGAAAATTCCTGTTACAATGTCTTTTTAAAAATTATTTATTCATTTATTTTTGACTGTGTTGGGTCTTCATTGCTGTGAGAGGGATTTCTCTGGTTGTGGCGAGTGGGGGCACTCTCTTGTTGCAGAGCATGGGCTCAGTAGTTGTGATGCACAGGCTAAGTTGCCCCAAGGCATGTGGGATCTCCCAGGACCAGGAAATGAACCCATGTCCCCTGCACTGGAAGGAGGACCCTTAACCATTGGACCACCAGGGAAGTCCCTACAAAGTCTTTTGAACCCGGGGTGTAAGTGGTTTTCGATTTTCATTTTGTGTGTATGCATGTGTGCAACTTGGTATGTTTAGGTGAAAAGTTTTTGATTCTTTCTTTGTTTTATATTCCCAGTATGCAGTCGTGATATGAGGTCTGTATTGTTGAAAAGTATTTCCTGGTCCATTGTTAGTCATACAAGAATTTTCTGACTCAGTATTTACCCTCCCGTAGAGCCTTTATACTGAAAGTTGTGTCTTCTATGTTTCTTTGTAGACAATGGATACCATATCTGTGTTCTTCACAGTAATCAGTAATTGTGGAAGGTCTTGAAAGGCCTTCTGCCTTGCCTGGGAATGTTTGTAATATGGCCTCTTCATTGTCCTTGACCTCGGTTAGAAATTGGACACAAAACACTGAGTTAAGAAGAATGACTTGTTGGCATGGAGATGAAAGCTGATGATTCTACTGAACTGTGTTGTCATCTTGGGTAAGGTGGGAAACTGTATATCCAGAGTCCTTCTGTTAGTGATTCTGAGTTAAAGTTCTTGAGAAGAGGAAGATGCATGAAGTCTGGAGCTGAAGTGAGGAAGCCATGATTCTTAGCTCTTCTGTACCGTCAGGAGACAGAGCTGCAGGGCAGCCTGGTGGCCTGAGCTTCAACACTGCTTTCTCACTTCTGGCTCTGCCTGTGTGGAACAGCCCCGGTCAGACACATGTTTGATGTTAGTTCCTGCTGGGCAGCAGCGTGGACTCTGCTCAGCAATGTAGACAAGGCTGCTCATCATGGGTCCTCTTTGGTTTTCAGGTTCACACATTTCCCTGCATGTTCCTGTGGCTCTTTGGGGTCCATCAGGCCACTTCTTCAGGCTTCAGAAGATCCCTCAGTGATTTTCTCATATCCTGTGATCCTCTTCACTTCCAAGGATTCTAATTACATGATTTTTGTGGGAAACATCTTGTTCCTCTAATAGGGGATGTTTCCTTCTTCCACCATGGCAGATGTAATATTGCAGCCACAGATGCAGGAAACCTGCTCCCCTAGTTGCGTTATGAGAGGCTGTAATGACCCTGCATTTCTTGTTCCTCAATACTTCCAAGACTGAGATAAGCTCCTGTGAATATATATAGCAGTTTGTGGCGTTTTCTTTTACAGGGGTCTGCTCTGTAAATGATTAGCCCAGTATGTTTAATTAGTCCATTTTTATATGTGATTTCCCGTTGCTTTATATGTGATCACCCAGGATGATTTAAAACAATGTGCATTGAAAAATCAAGTTCAGGAACTTCTCTGGTGGGCCAGTGGCTGAGATTCTGAGCTCCCAATGCAGGGGGCCTGGGTTCGATCCCTAGTCAGGAAACAAGATCCCACATGTCACAATTAAATATCCTGTGTGCTGAACTAAGACCTGGCACAGCCAAATAAATAATTTTTTTTTTAATAATCTGATTTAAAGTGTTAGAGGGGTACCTACTGAATGCTTATTTGGAGGCTGTGAATCTGTACCTGCTTGTTTGGAGGCCGTGAATCTGTATCTGTCTTGTGTGCCTTTAGGGGCTGGCCATGTGTGGCCACAAGAAGGGGATCCAGGAAGGCCCAAGAAAAGCTTAACTGTACTCAGGGCCTAGTGACATAATCACTGTGCAACAAGACAGGGGTGTCACTTGGGGAGCACCAAGGCAGCTATCTCACTTGAGCCACAGGGGAGCAGAGCATATAAGGACCCGTGGGCAAACATCTGTATTCGTCAGGGGCATAATTGTTCGTTTGAGCCTAGAGTGCATGGCGTAGGAGGGACAGTAAATATCTAGCACCAGATTATGATTGTGGACTTAGAAATAAAGGCTTAATTGGAGTCAGGACCCTTAGAAAATGGAAGAGAAAAAGTGGGTGTTTGGTTTGAGGACTTGCTTGATTGACCTGCCTGGTGATCACAAGCTCCTCACTGGTTGCCCAACAAGCCCCTCTGCACTGGCCCGTCTGTGTATGGTGGCTCCAGATCCTGAGAGTAATTGGTTTCTTCACTCACTATTACCTTCCAAACATCATACAAGTTAGGCTGTTGGTGAATTCTAGCCTGGAATCATAGAGATGGGGATTCTGGGAAATATACCTCCCAGTCACACGCACAATGAAAAAAACAATCCAGCACAAACATATCTACCTTTTGGCTTCATTGACCTTTCACAATCATACCAAGAAATGTAGCACAGTGATGGGTGAGAGGGCTTCCCTGGGGGCTCAGACAGTAAAGAATCTGCCTGCAATGCAGAGTTCAATCCCTGAGTCAGGAAGATCCCCTGGAGAAGGAAATGGCAACCCACTCCAGTATTCTTGCCTGGAGAATCCCATGGACAGAGAAACCTGGTGGGCTACAGTCTGTGGGGTCACAGAGTTGGACATGACTAAGCAACTCAGCATGCACTCATGAGGGGGTGAGAGGGATATGGAGAAGATTTAATTCATTCATTCAGTCTCTCCAGTGAATATTATAACAGAAGAGTAAACTATTTCAGCTAACACTGGCAGTTGATACCTAAATAGATTATTAAACTATATACAAGGACATGTATGTACTGTGGCCAGCACAGCAGGTAAGGATCAAAAGTGGCCGACACAGTTTGGAAAAAAGAAACTAGAGACAGAATTAAAGTTTCAAAGATGGGAGTGGGGGACTCAAGACCTCTAGGATCAAGAACCTTGTTCCTCAGAGCCACATCCCTTTTATTTAGTGTTTTGGCAAGCAGGAAATATCTGTTGTGCTATAATAAAATCAGCCTCTTGTGTCCCCGGTCACATCTCCCATTTTATTGATTACTTTGACCTACCTCTGTTATTTTTTTGTACAAGGGGTATCACCCAGCTGGAGGTCATAGACCCGCATATGCTCTGGAAAAACATCTTGGTATGTGCACAAGCAGCATTCTGAACTTGCGCTGACCCAGCATTCCAAGGTCCACACTTTTTTCCCTTTGCTTAGCAGGGCATGATGACCCCAACTAATCAACCCGATGTACTTTTGTTTGGATTATACTTAATTGTTATATCTTACTTTTATTCTTTTCCCACAGTGATTTTCTCATGGCTTAGCCAGAGCAACAGTGGCTGACTATTAACCCATGCATGTATGCATATATACTGAATTCAGTAATATCTCCTCCCTCCCTCCTGCCTCATCACCACCAATTTCATGTCTACCTGGAATCTCTTATACAACCTGTGGATTTAAAAGATATTCACAACCTAAAAGTTGAGAGTTTTGTTTATCCAGAGGGAATTTTAGGGACTTAAACCCTGGAGGCAGCATCTCAAGTAAACCTGAGAGAACTGCTCCAAAGAGGTGGGAGGAGGAGCCAGGTTATATAGAAGTGTTGCAACAAAGGGCAGGTAGGCAGAACATCAAAAACTGACTGTTAATTGAAGAAAATAAAATATCCCAAGTTAAGAAATTAAGCACTTTTCTGTGTACGAGAAGCAAAAGCCTGGGCTCACTGAAATCACTCCTTTGATATGCATCTCAGCTACCTGGGGCCAGTATCCTTTGTTTTCACATCCTGAGTTCTTCAGGGCTCACTGTGGGGAGTGGATGCAGTCTGATGGCTGATAGATGGCAGATATTCTTCTTCCTGATTTCCTTCAGGTTCAGTGGCTGTCACTGGAGGACTGCAATCACTGACGACTGACATCCTTGTTTACTGATATGGTAGGAAATACTCCTTTTCTCAAACCTGATTTGGAAATAAGGAATGTGCAGATGTAATCAGGGTGTGGCCATAATGGATTGGAGTAGGTCGTAATCCAATGATGTGTATTGGGACACAGACACCTGCCCAGGAGACAGACATATCTTAGCTGTGTAAAATCAGAGCAGAGGTTGATGCGATCTTCCTTTTATTTATTTATTTTATTTTTGGCAGCACTGGATCTTTGTTGCTTTTTCAACAGGCTTTCTCTAGTTGAGGTGAGCTGGGTCTGCTCTTCATTGTGGTGCTTGGGCTTCTCATTGCAGTGGCTTCTGCTGTTCGGAGAACAGGCTTTAGGACCACAGACTCTAGGTACATGGGCCTCAGTAGTTGCAGCACATGGGCTCAGTAGTTACAGCTCTCAGGCTCTAGAGCATGGGCTCAGTAGCTGTGGTACTCTGACTTAGTTACTCTGAGTCATGTGGGATCTTCCCAGACAAGGATCAAACCCATGTCCCCTGCATTGGCAGGTGGATTCTTTTCCACTGCACCACCAGGGACGTCCCTGGTGTGATCTCTGTACAAGACAAGGCATGCAAAGGATTGTCGGCCTTCTCCAGAAATCTGGAGACATGCCCGGAACAGGTTCCTCCTCAGAGCCTCCAGAAGATCCAGCTCTGCTAACAACTTCATCGGGTAGGTCCAGCCTCCCAAACTGTGAGAAAATAAATTATTGTTGATTTCAGCCCCGCTGTCTCCAGTGCTTTTTTGGGCGGCCCAAGCAGACTAATGCAGCTCCTAAGGCAGGAGTGGGCCTTGGGTACTTGAGGGACAGGGAGATGCCAGTGTTTCTAGAGGAGAGTGGGATGGGTGCAAGAACAGCAGGGGCAAGAAGAGAGCACTGTGTGTAGGCAGGCATGTCATGTCCTGATGCCTGGCTCTGAAGGCACTAGCAACACAAGACAAAATAGATCAATTGGACTCCATGGAAATTAAAATGTTTTGTGCATTAAAGGACACTATTAAGAGAGTGAAAAGACACCTTACAGAATGAGAGAACCCGTTTTTGAATCAGATATGTGACAAGGTTTTATTATCCAGAATACCTGAAACAACTTTGTATAACAAAATGCCAATGATTCAGTTTAAAAAAAAAAAAGTGGGAAAAGAACTTGAATTTACTTTTCTCCATGTGAAAGTGATATTCACTCAGTCAAGTCTGATTCTTTGCAACCCAATGGACTGTAGCCCACCAAGTTGCTCTGACCATGGGATTCTCCATGCAGGAATACTGGAGTGGGTTGCCAGGGATCAAACCTTCATCTCTCATGTCTCCTGCATTGGCAGGTGGGTTCTTTACCACTAATGCCACCTGGGAAGTCCCCTAATCATTGTACTACCAGGGAATTCCCAGACAGAATGTATTCTAGTGGTGACCAGAAGGTGGGGTTACCAAGGCTATACTGGTCTTATCATTTGTTTTTAAATGAGTATACAATTCAAATTCTGTAATGGTTAGCCTCTTAAGAGCGAAAGTCAGTGGCTTTTTGTACATGGCATAGCTGTACATCCATTGCTATACAATTTTAAAAAGGAAGTGCAGCTGTTCACATTTCAAAATTCACAGACTGACTAAAAGCTGGTATGATATGAATTTCCCTGCAGTATAACACACATACCTGAGGCTTGTGATATCTCAGTGATACAAAGTTGATAACCTTACACTGGACATACAAGCCAAAATTATTGGCATGCAACATGCATCTTTAAGCTGTTACCCCATACCAAAACCTTACAAGGTATAGCTGATGGACTAAAAGCACTGAATCCTTTGGACTGGGTAAAAGGCATAGATGGCAGGCTTGTAGGCTGCTTATAGGCTTGTATCTTTTTGTTGTTTTTTAATAATCTTGTGTTTAGTCTTCAGATGCACAAGAAAAGTCCTCAGAAAATTAATGAAGAAAGAAGTGGCCCAGTCAGCCTACCTACTGTTACAAAAACAAAAAGGGGGAAATGTGGGAAAACATTCTCCATATGTCTTTGCAAAACCATGAGAAAAAATAACAGGAAACAGCAACAAAAAATAACCAGAGTATATGGGCTGATTGGCTGGGGTCAGAGTGACCTGCTTGAGCAGATGGAGAGGAGTGCGGACTTAGCAATGCCCCGTCAGCGCAAGTCAGAAAGCTGCTTGCACACGCACTGGTTGTTTCTCTGATGTTCCTGCGGGAATCTTTGGTCCCAGCCATATGGTGCCCTTTGTACAGAAAATAACAAGTTCAAAAGAAAAACATAAACTGGGGACGTGACCAGGAACATGGAAAACTTATGTTATCTTAAAAAACAGATGCTTTCTGCATACCAAGAGGCTCTATATAAGTGCTACGGCATTGAATGTTGGGGCTCTTGATCCTTGAGTTCCCTGGTCCCATCTTTCTATTCTGTCTGTGGTGTTTTTTTTTTTTTTTTGTCTGTGTTTTCTTATGCCCTGCCGGCACCCATCTCTCGCTCTATGTTGCTGAGCTGGACTCAGCAATGGTGACCTTAGTCCACACCGTGTCCTGACACTGAAGGTCGCCAAATTGATGAAACAGATATTCATCTATTGAGGTCTGGGGAAGTCATTCTGATGCATACCTGATTCAAGTCAAAAGTGAAAGTGTTAATGGCTCAGTCATGTCCAACTCCCTGTGACCCCGGGACTATAGTCCACCAGGCTTCTGTCTCTGGAATTCTGGATTGTGTAGCCTTTCCCTTCTGCAGGGATCTTCCCAATCCAGGGATCGAACTCTGATCTCCAGCATTGCAGGTGGATTCTTTACCATCTGAGCCACCAGGGAAGACTGATTTAAGTCGAATTTTTTGTTAAAACAATGTTTGTGGCCTATTGAACATGCATTGTCCATCAGCTTTAAATTATTAAAGCACCCACTGACCAAAAGTAAAATGTGTTTTAAAAATAAAGATTAGGGGCTTCCCTGGTGGTCCAGTGGTTAAGAATCTGCCTTGTAATGCAGAGGACACAGGTTCAATCCCCTGTCTGGGAAGATCCCACATGCCCAGGGGCAACTAAGCCCAGGGGCCACAACTAATAAGCTGGAGTGCCCGAGAGTCCACGCTAAGCAAGAGATGCCACTACAATGAGAAGCCCTCGAACTGCAACTCGAGAGTAGACTCCACTTGCAGCAACTAGAGAAAATCTGCAAACTCCAAGGAAGCCCTGGCACAAAAATAAAAATACAACAATACATTTTTTTTTTTTTTTTAATGAAGATTAGCTGCCTCCCTTCCTGGGGCATCAATGCTGGTTCTCCTTCCATATAAGACTGTTTGCTTTTTGAAATCTTGGAAGAATGTTGCCCTGACTTGTTTGATGTACTATGTTCTGACAAGAGAGGAAACTGTGCTGAAAACCGTGCTTCTCCTGAGCAGTTCCTCTGAGTTATCCGAGAAGCTGTCTTAAGGGCTGTGGTCTTCAGTTTGGCTTAAATAAAAGTGTTTATTTGCTTAATTTTATTTCCATCAGCAAAGCGCTATGACCCGTATTTTCTCGTCCACATTCCGTGAACGGAGCAATCTGCAGGGAAACTGAGTCTGGACTTCCGGGTGCAGGAGAAGGACACAGGGGAACCGCGGAGCGGACACCATGGGGTCCGCCGCCCCCGGAACTGGCTGTGCGCGCAGCCCAAGTCCCAGGTGGGCAGATCAGCCAAGCGTGTCTCCGTGGCCTGTCACTCGGGGCAGGGGCGGGGTCTGGTTGAACAGTCCAATTAGCAGTGGCTGGGCGGAGTCCAGACAACCAGAATCAGGATAGGATGGGACCAGGAGAACTGTCCATCAAGGCAGGGGCGGGGGAGAATTAATGTCCAATCAGAGCGCGGGCCCTGGAAAGCCGTCCAATCAGGCCACGCGACGGGTGAGCTTCCAGCCCCGGGAAGTTTCTCTCAGCCTCCGCAACACTGGTGTGAACGAGTCCCGGCGTTATCTGGTGTCCTGTCCCAGTCGCTCTCACTAACCGAGGTCGCAGGGCACGCTTTGGAGAACCCGGAACGAGGAGAAGATGGTGAGTGCATGGCTCAGGGCCCTAAGAGAGAAAAGTTCCGGTTTGCACGGACCGGAACTTTCCGAAAATGACGGCTGACCGGGGTCTCTCCCACCCACGGGGTTCCAGCCCGAGTTCCCTCCTCGACCGCAGGGTGGGGACCCAGAGTCCTGTCCCAGGGTCCCGACCCTAGTCTCCCTCTCGGCTTCAAGGTGGGGTCCTGACGTCCTGTTCCGACACAAGTTCTCCCTCGGTTGCGGGGTGGAGACCCAGCGTCCTCTCCCGGGGTCCCGCGAGGAAGGGACCCTATGTCCTATTCTGGGTCCCGACCCAGTTCCCTCCTCGGGGGGGGCGGGGAGGGGGCGGGGACCCGGCGTTTTATACCGGGGTCCCGACCAGAGTTCCCCATCTCGACCGTGGGGTGGGGGGACATAGCGCTTTGTCCTGTTATTGCGCGGAGTCCAGGGCGTCCGGACACAGCCTGTGGTCCCGTGGGCGTCGGAGGGAGGACAGGACGGCTCCCAACGGGCCGTTAGGCTCAAAGGGCGGGGTGGGGGGTGGTGGGGCGGGGAATCCTCCCTGAACCTCACAGATAAAGTCAAGTCCGGACTAGTACAGGAGACTGTATGATAAAGAAACGCTGTTGCGATAGGGCAGACGCGCCAACCACACCGCAGAGGGCTTTCGTCTTCAATGAGAGGAGGGGGACCAGGAGGGAAGCTGGGCGAGTGAGGCGCACGGATTCCGAGACCAGCGTGGCTGTGCTGAGTCCAGCTCAGCAACACAGAGAGACGGGTGCCAACAGGGCATAAGAAAACACAGAATAGAAAGAAAGATGGGACCGGGGAACTCAAGACCTCGAGGATCAAGAGCCCCGACATTCAATGCCGCATCACTTATATTGAGCTTCTTGGTATGCAGAAAGCATCTGTTTTTTAAGATAATATAAGTTTCCCATGTTCCCGGTCACGTCCCCAGTTTATGTTTTTCTTTTGAACTTCTATGTTATTTTCTGTACAAAGGGCACCATATGGCTGGGAGCAAAGATCTCCCCGCAGGAACATCAGAGAAACAACCAGTGCGTGTGCAAGCAGCTTTCTGACTTGCGCTGACGGGGCATTGCTAAGTCCGCACTCCTCTCTCTCCATCTGCTCAAGCAGGTCACTCTGACCCCAGCCAATCAGCCCATGTACTCTGGTTATTATTTGTTGCTGTTTCCTGTTATTTTTTTTCTCATGGTTTTGCAAAGACATCTGGAGAATGTTTTCCCACATGGTTGGACTGGATAGGGCTCCTGTTCTCTGATAGGTTGCTGTTCTCTGAAGAAGCTGACCAGGGGCTTGTTCTGAACCTCAGTGTTGCTCAGACATGGGGGCGACCCAACGTTCAGGAACCTGTGGGGAGGACTGTCCCAATGTGGGGTTAGAAATGGGACACAAGAGAACTTGGTCAAGCCCAAATGTGTGGGACCACGGACCTCCTGGTGTCAAAGGTAAAATGTCAAAGTGGGGCTGGCCTCTGCATCCCTGCAGGGAGCACCACAGAGTATCTTGTACTCTGGGAACTGATCCACAGTGACTTTCCCCACAAGCTGATTTCTGCCTCAGGAGGTCCCAATGCCCTCCTGTCTGTGTAGAACAGCAATCAGTACTGAGTCTGCAAAGAAAAGAGTTTTATTTGGGGTCTTAAGAATTGCAATTCAGGGGGACATGGATTTGATTTGATGGAATACTATTTATGTTTTTGAGGCATGACAAGAAAATGTAAGCATATTGGGCTCTTCCTAATGTTGATTTGTGTGGCTTCATTAACCAGCAGACCTTCTCAAAGGGGGAGGAGTGTCTGCTCCACGAGAAAGATTTTAAAGTATTCCTTCTTCTCCCACCAGCAGTATAACTCCAAGATAATACTCCTTTCCTAATCCTGTCAGGGGTCATGCTGATCTGCAGATTTAGACTGTATTTTTGGTGAACTTTATGAGAAATGTCATTGCATCATTTTGATGTATGTTCCTTTGTCTCAGAAATGTATATGACTTAGGACTTCCCTGGAAGTCCAGTGGTTAATAATCCACCTTTTAATGCAGGGCACTCAGGTTCATCCCTAATTTGGGGAACCTAAGATCCCACAAGCAGCAGAGAGCGACCGAAAAATAAAAAAAAATTTTATATGACTGCCTTAGACTTCTAGTAAGTGGAACTGTCCTCAAAGTTTTATAAGAAACTATCTGCTGAGTTATAATCCTCAGGTTGGCTTAAATAAAATTCTCTTATCTTCTCTATTCGATTCAATGTTAATTTTTCATCAACAGTGTAAAACTGAAAGAGTGTTGTAGGGAGGAGAAAGAGTATCAGGCTTATTAAAGGAAAAGCCACAGGGCTGTTAAAGTTGCCTGGAATGAATTATGGTAGACACTGACACAGGGAACCAAATATTTATCCTTGAGAGACAGGCTGTCATGCGTTATTTAAGGGAAGGGTCCGTTTAAGTATCTTGACTTTCTGAACCACTGGGCAAATGTTCTGGAGGCCTGCATTAAGGCAGCAAGTAGTGAAAAGTTCAGATTCCATCTGGGCTGATTACTGCATAAACCCCAGTTCTTCAGGGGCCTCCTGGCTCCAGTTTATTGCGCTCCCTTGGTAATAATGACTCCATTTTATTTTTCCTTTCATACCCGTCTCGTCTTTTTCTGGCTCCCGGACTTTGGGGGTAGCCCTGACACAGGGAGCACTGAAAGGAACTGAGTGGCACTTTTATGTTCAGGAAAAGGGGAATGCAACCTGTGAAGTGATGCTGTGTCCGTCTGGCCAAGGGTAGATTCGGCTTGGAGTTCACCGGCGCTGCCAAGTGTCCCGGAACATAAGCCAGGCAGTAAAGGGCTGAAGCCGACTACCCGTACTTCCGCCCTGCTTGGCCACGTGGCCTCTAGCCGGCCTGTCCCTCACAATCTAGTCCTTCACTTGTTGTCAATCAAGGCCCGGAAGGGGGTGTTCCCAGAGGCACATCCAATCAGGGACGAGGGTGGGCACGTTCGCTGACGTGGTGACGTCGCTCTCTGCTGCCAGGGCGTCCCATCGCACCTACCTCGCCGGACACTTGGTGTCCTTGCTGTCGCTCTGACCTGTCTGAGCCATTGGGCTGCAAGGCCACGGAGACAGCCACCTGAATGCGGGGGGAGGGACTGAAATGGTGAGTGTATGGGGCTGGCGCTGAGACTGGCTGGGGCTGGTTTGAACTGGCCGGACGGGACTCCCCGCCCCCGGCTGGATTGTAGTCTCCACCGTCCACTTCGTTTCGCGTGCCGGCCTCCTGTCCGGTGCTCGCGGGGCTCCCGGGTCCCGACAGCGATATGGGGTCTCGTGTTCCAACCGGGTCCTTGGCCTGTTGGATGTCTGACTGAGGACGAGGCAACGTCCGGAGCGGGTGGTCGGGTTCTGGGGTCCTTCCCAGGACCTGACAGATGAAGTCAAGTCCACAGTTGGTCAGAGAGACTCTATTGCAAACGCTGTTGCCAGAGCGCCGAGGCTCGGGTCTCAGGGATGTGCCAGCGTCGCCAGCCACACGGAAAAGTACTTTTCTGTGTGAGGAAGGCTCATTGACAGAATCGGAGATCCTGTGGTCAGGGCATCCTCGGCCCGGGTCAAGGGGGAACTTGATCTGCCGCTCAGTGAACCTCAGTTCGGGAGTTGTAGAGGGTAGTGACCTAGAGTCAGGGGCATTTGGGAAGAGAAGGATGGAGTAAAGTTTGGGTAAAAAAATGGATATTGGTCTTAAAAATAACAGTTACTAGGAAAAATGGATTTATTGGGGAACAACAAAAAATTGCAATTAGGGACAGACGAGGTATAGCAAAAGCTATAAGCAAGTCCAACAAACTTATGTATTGGGGGAAAAGGAGGGAATTGAGAGGGGTTGTATTGGTATAATAAAATCCATGGAGAAAATGGAAAATTCAATTTTTCTCATTGGCTAGTTGCTGGAATAGCCAGTTTCTTGAGAAGATGCAGTGTATGTACATGTTTTTCTGTTGGGTGCTGTAATTGATGATTCTTTCTTGTTTTCCATTTTTCTCTTGGGGTCCACAGTCCACATTTTTTCCTCTAATTGATGTCAAGTGGTACTGGGTGAGGCTCTCCCTTCTGGCTCCACCCTTGATTCTTTTTAGGTAGTTTTCACTTTCTTAATTTTCACATAGGCCATTGAGAACACTTGGGTCAAGACTGTGGCATTGAAACAACCCAAACCTTCTAACAAGAAACCTTTATTCAAATGAGATATTCCAGAGGGAGAAGGGTCTGTTCCACCAGACACAGGAGGCCCTGCAGGAGGGAGGACATGTGACCCTAAGGTCTTCAAGTGTCTCAAGAGCTGTGCAAGGAGAATTTTCCTTTTACAGAGAGGAGTGACCAGAACCAGGAAGGGCCAGGTGTGGTGCTTGGACGGTAGATCCCTGAGGCCAGTCTGTTGTTAGGGATCTGTGTGCCCGCTGGGGTGAAGTAGGCCAAAGTTCAGGGGGAAGTCGAGGGGCTGAACCAAAGTTTGGCCAACAAGCACTTGTTCTGCGTGGTCATTGGGGCAAGCAGGTCCCCTAATCACAGTGAGACGGAAATGGGGCTTTGGGGTTGGGGGGCAGTATCTGGCCTTGCCCTGAATAAACAAAGGATCTCCATGTGAGTCTTTCTGAATCAAGTGGGGCAGTTTCTTGCAGCTTCCCATTTTCCAGAACACTGAAGTGTGGGGAGTCCTTTCACCTTCCTTATGTGTTCTCAGGAGCACAGAGCTCACAGAGGGCTCAGCGTTGTCCCCTGACATGGGGGAGCAGCCTCCTCTGGTCCAGCTCTGCACGAATAACTTCCCTTCCTCCAGCTTCAGGTTTCAGCAGGTGTAAAATACTGAATTTTACTGAATACTGAATTCTTGCCTGGCTTCTCCTCAGTGAGGGTGGTGACGTCTCAGGTCTGCTGTTTCCTGAAGGCTCGGGTTCTCCCGGGTCTTTGGGCCCTAACCAGAGATGCCTCTGGGGAGAAGGGAATGTTCTGTCCTCCATTAGAATGCTGGAAATGCAGGCATTCCCACCCCTTCTTGTGAAGTGGGTAGAGATGTGAATGAAGAAGATTCTTAGGAATCTTAGCAACTCTTCCATGAAGAGTGTCTGGTGCTGGTCCACTTCCTGTTATTAGTCAGTCAGCAGACATAGAAATTCTGGGAACAGTGACCTGTGCTATGGAGACTTGCTCACTTCTTTTTAGATGAGTCACAGCTTGTTGTTACGAGGAGTTAGTGAACTGATGCCTGTCTTCTCAAAGGAATGAGCAGTAACCAGTTTCTCTAACCAGAAACCTGCCCTAAAATTTCCCTCCCGTGTGTTATCCAGGAACACAGGCGGAAGCAGCAATTTTGCAGATCCTCATTCACACACAGAGATGGGGCATCATGTCTGCTGTAAATGACCCAAAGCTGGTGCATCCCCTGGGTTAGGGACAAGCTGAGCCTGGGAAGGAGGGGAAGGAAGGTGCTCTGGGGTCTTGCTGGTGCCCTTCGCCACATGGGTGGCCTCAGACCATAGAATCACCACAGAAGGAGCAGGAGGGTGGGGGAGGGGATCTACCTGCAGAAGTGCTAGGGGTGATGTGTCCCCTAAGGCTGGCTGTTTCCTGACCTTTGCTTTGGGCCTTATCCAGGGAGGACCAGTCCTGGGAGTTGGTGGATTGTGAGGTGTGCGCCCTGAGTGAGTGTGACGGTTGGACATGGTGAAGTCTCCTTGGGTTCAACTGCTGCTGAGAGTGTGGATGAACTTGAGTGTTTCCTCCTGGTGAAAATTGAAGCTCAGAGGAGGGGCCTTTTTTTTTTAACCACCGCGGGAAGCTCAGCCACTCCCCCTGCCCTGGGGGCACCCCTTGGCCCCCAATTCACACAGCTTTGACCTTCTGACTTGGGGTCTCCTGTGCAGCATGGGCAGCAGGCTGCTGATCTGAGCGGCTCATACTTGGCTGCTCTTCCCTTTTGTTTACTCGATGAGAGTCTTCTGCCCTGTCACTCAGTGTACAAGTGTGTAAGATATTTTTCTTCCATTACGTGAAAGTGTAGGATTTTGTTTTTTCAGATATACTTGCTTATGTGTGTGTACAGTTTTTAAAAGAATTATTTACTTATTTTGGAGCTGTGCTGGGTCTTCATTGCTGTGTTTGCGCTTTCTCTAGTTGCAGTGAGCAGAGGCTTCTCTTGTGGTTCCCAGGCTCTAGAGTGCAGGCTCAGTTGTGGCTCACAGGTGTAGTTGCCCCTCAGCTTGTGGGATCTTCCCAGACTAGGGATCAAACCCATGTCCCCTTCATTGGCAAGTGGATTCTTAACCTCTGGGCCAACAGGGAAGTCCTTTAAATCTATTGTTAATTTCCTATTGTATCCTCTTTTCCTTTCTTTCTGGGACTCCAGTGATACTAATGTTTTGTGTTTGTCCCACCGGTCTCTAAGACACTTGTCATTTTTTTTTTTGTCTATTTTCTCTCCGTTGTTCAGATTGTTGTTGAGTCGCTCAGTCACGTCCAACTGTTTGTGACCCCATAGACAGCAGCATGCCAGGGTTCCCTGTCCTTCATCATCTCCTGGAGTTTGCTCAAACTCATGCCCATTGAGTAGGTGATGCCATCCAACCATCTTATCCTCTGTTGTCCCCTTCTCCTCCTGCCTTCAATCTTTCCGAGCATCAAGGTCTTTTCCAATGAGTCAGCTCTTTGCATCAGGTGGCCAAAGTATTGGAGCTTCAGCTTTAGCATCAGTCCTTCCAATGGATATTCAGAGTTGATTTCCTTTAGGACTGACTGGTTTCATCTCCTTGCAGCCCAAGGGGACTCTCAAAAGCCTTCTCCAACACCACAGTTTGAAAGCATCTGTTCTTTGGCGCTCAGCCTTCTTTATGGTCCAATTCACATCTGTACATGACTACTGGGAAAACCATAGCTTTTACTAGAAGGACTTTTGTTGGCAAAGTAATATCTCTGCTTTTTAGCACACTGTATAGGTTTGTTATACCTTTTCTTCCAAGGAGCAAGAGTCTTTTAATTTCATGGTGGCAGTCACCCTCTGTAGTGATTTTGGAGCCCAAGAAAAGAAAGTCTGTCACGGTTTCCATTGTTTTCCTGTCTATTTGCCATGAAGTGATGGGGCCAGATGCCATGATCTTAGTTTTTTGAATGTTAAGTTTTAAGTCATCCTTTTCACTTTCCTCTTTCATCTTCATCAAGAGACTTTTTAGTTTCTCTTCACTTCCTGCCATAAGGGTGGTGTCATCTGCATATCTAAAGTTATTGATATTTCTCCTGACAGTCTTGATTCCAGCTTGTGCTTCATGCAGCCCGGGACTTAGTGTGATGTACTCTGTATGTCAGTTAAATAAAAGGGTGACAATATACTGCTTTTGATGTACTCCTTTCCCAATTTAGTCTGTTGTTCCATGTCTGGTTCTGTTGCTTCTTGACCTGCATACAGGTTTCTCAGGAGGCAGGTAGGATAGTCTGGTATTCCCATCTCTTTAAGAATTTTTCACAATTTGTTGTGATCCACACAGTCAAAGGCTTTGATGTAGTCAGTGAAACNAGCCTGGCTTGGAGAATTTGGAGCATTACTTTACTAGTGTGTGAGATGAGTGCAATTGTCAGTTACTGTATTTCAGCTCTAAACTTTCCATTTGGTTCTTTGTAGCTTTTATTTCTTTGCTGAAATTTTCAATTTTTTATTTGTTTCAAGTGTGTTTGTAATTACTCATTGAAGTATTTTCTATAGCTTTAAAATCCTTGCCAGATAATTCCCTGTGTGATTTTGGTGTTGGTGTCTGTTGGTTGTCTTTGAGGTTCAGGTTTTTATTCATTGGTTGGTTGATAGCACCTCCCAGCAATCAGCCCCCTGAATGACGATTGTCCTGATCTTTTTTTATTCTTGGCCGCTTTGCAGGTGTCCCTCATCACCAGCAGTGTTTTATTTGGTTTTGCCTCTGCTGCATTTGTAGTAAGTGAAGGTGACCAGTTCCACACCAGTAGTGGCACACAGAAGACTTCTCTGTGGTTCTCAGTCCGTCTGTTTCAAACGTGCTCAAGTCAGAGGAATGGCTCCCCCAGTTAACTCCTCCATCCAGTGCTTGTGGGGCTTGGGTTGTCTCACATTTTAAAAAAAGTTTATTTGGCAGCACATGGGGTCTTCAGTTGCACCATGTGAACTCCTAGTTGCAGTACGTGGGACCTAGTTCCCTTGCCAGGGATTGAACCCAGGTCCCCTGCATTGGGAGCATGGAGTCTTAGCCACTACACCACCAGGGAAGTCTCTCACATTTATTTTTGATTTGTCAGCAGTGCTGTTATTCTTTTGGTCTCCAAACTCTTTAAGTGCAAAGTATAAATATTTTATATCTAGGGGAAAAATTGTGTGATTGTAGATTATGGATAAGTTAGAAATACTAGGAAGTGTAGAGGGGTGACTGGAGTTGAGTGTTGATTCTATGCCATTTCTAGCACTTGGACAATCCAACTTAATTTTGTTTCTTTTGTGTCCGTTTTGTGTGAAATGGCGTCTGCTTGTGATTGTAAATTGGTTTTTACTGATAACCATTGGTGGTGAGAATTTCTTTCAATGGGTAATTCATCTTCTGTGAAATAGTTTCCTCACCTTGAACTCATTTGTATGTCTACTGATTTCTTATGTTTTATTTACATGCTGTGGACATTCATCTATTTTCATCTCTAGGTATGGCCAATATGTTCTCCCAGATTGTGAGTTATCATTTCTCTCGATTCTTTACTTTTTAAAATTCATTGTTAATTGGAGAATAATTGCTTTACAATGTTGTGTTGCTTTCTGCCTTACAAGAAAGTGGATCAGCCATAAATTTACATATATCCTCTCCCTCTTGAACCTCCCTCCCACCCCCACCCCAATGCTGGGTAATTCTTAACTTTAATAGACTTGGATGGAATTTATCCATCTCTTCCTTTGTAGCTTACTTTTTTCCATATATAAGAAAACTTATCCTACACTCAAGTCATAAATGTGTTTCCCTCTAGTGTCTCATAGAGTGTCCTACTTTCTTCTTTCACAGTTAAGTCCACAGTGAATTGGTTATTGTACATGTAGTTACAAGAGAAAAGATTTCTTACTTCCCTGGAAATAGCCAGTGCTGCTGCCCCATGTGTCAGTAGCCCCCTCCCAGCAGCACGTGCCCTGGTGTAGATCCAGCTGGGCCTGTTTTTGTGCATTGTGATTTTTTTCCATAGGTGTATCTATGCATCCCTCTGTTAACACCATCCTGTCATAATCACTGTAGTTTAAAACATTTCAATGTGCATTAGGAAACATCCCACTGAAAGGTTGTTGCTGAACGATTAGACGCGGGATTCTTGGCCTCCGGAGGAGACGAATTCAATCCGGGGCCAGAGACGAGGCTGGATCGCTCAGAGCTTTTGTGTAATAAAGTTTTATTAAAGTATAAAGGAGATAGGGAAAGCTTCTGACATAGGCATCAGAAGGGGGCAAAAGAATACCCCCCTTCTAGTCTTTAGCTGTCTGTTATATAGTCACTCACAGTCTGTTAATGAAAAGGATGTCATAAAATTTAGAATGATACCAGATAATTCATCCCTGGCCATAAAACGATTGACTTGAATCTTGTAGAAGGGCAGAATACCAACAAATAATTTCATTTACATAGATTAGGGGAACAATACCTGAGTAAGTAAATTTAGGCCATTTGGCGGAACCAACTTGAAGATAGAGTCTGGGGTTCATTAACATAGCTTAAGACAACATTTCCATACGAAAAAGAAACGTATTGGTCAACTCAAGGTTTGAGAGTAGTTAGCTTCAGGTGAGACCAGGTGTCATGGCAACACAGCACTTTAAGAGAAACCTCTTTTAAATTTGTATAGAGAAGGAAA